TTTCGTGGATCCAATGGCACATTTGCCAACAGCTACGACACGTTTGTGACACTGTTGCCTCACTGTTGAGTAGTAGAACAAACAACCAATCCACGCTTTGCATTGTCCACCTCTTTTGACAAGCTTCAGCATTACAGTAGATGAGTAGGTCAGTAGGTCATGCGGTGAAACAAGTGAAACCAGTGGCATCGCTGAATCGCGTTCCGAGTGATCGGTGGTTGCGTGGACCAAGTTACAACTTGCACATTTGATATAAAAACCTCGAGGTTCCACCTCCTACCAGCCCGCTTCCCCCCCAAGTATGAGGTGAATGCGTTGAGGTGATCGTCTCCTCTCCTGCCGTGCCGTGTCGTCTTGCCTTTGCTTAGGCGTCGACAATCTGTACTGCTAGTCTGTAGCCTTGCGTTACCGGTAGCAAGTCCATGTACCACGCCAACATCCATCGCGTGTTAGCCAGTAGGGATCAGCAACTCTCGCTTTGGTAGTACCTTCCACTGGGACCACCAACAACTAGTTGTAATTCTCGAGTGCAATGGCCCTCCTGCAGCATAGTTAAACAACCTCCAACCATCCGTCCATCTAAAAGTATTTCAGCCTTCTAGGTGAAAGAGCTTGCACCATTCTCATTCAAGGGTTCATCTAAGAGTCAAATTCCTTTTGGAGTGGATCACACCTCATCAGCATGAATGCAGTCACGGTGGGACTCCCTCCTTAGATCGTGGAAGTGGATTTTAAACGCGTGAGAATAGATCGTCCATAAATTGTATGCCTGTTGTTTACACATCAGTCATGAGTGACCACAATTTACTGGATCAGGAATGTGCACACGTAAACACAACTGCGAGGATTCGATGTTGTTTAAATTTATTGCCAGAGGCGTTTTCGAGCGGTGCAAAATTAATCCATCAAATTAATTCCACGCGAAGGTTACTGTGACCCACGTGGAAGTGACCTACACCAGGCGCCTTTGGTGTCAAATTTAAGAGTGGAAATTGGCAGTCACATTCATCCGCGCATTTATCCATCTATTCGTCCTAGATTCATCTATTTATGCATCCATCCTGGACCCATTCACTCACCCATCTATCTATCCTGGATCCATCCATCCATCCATCCTGTATCCATCCATCCATCCATCCATCCTGTATCCATCCAT